CAGATCCAGTTCTCATGTAAATGCATGTCATCTTGTTGAAGCTGCTTAACTCTGCATTTTGGCATCTATTGCCCCAGTTGACTGCCTGGGATTTGTTGGGTTGTTGGGCTTTCTATTTTGTACCTATTGCTGAAGATCTATTTCTTATCTTTTTGGCTTGTTCGCTTGTTAAAAATTGGGTTTCTAACAAGTGTTGTGCTGAGTCTACCTTGAATATTGTATGTAGATAAGCTGGGGAGAACCTGGCTGCTGTTTTGGGGAAATAGGGACATAAAGTGCTTTAATCCCTTGACGTTTTCCTGGTCATCCCTTTGTCATAAATACTTCTGTTTTAGATGCAGGTCTTGATATTTGCTCCCTCTGCCTTTTGCAGAAAGGAAATATTATATTTCTCAGGGTGAAAGTTGCTTATGGGGGTTTGCGACAAGTTCATCAAAGTGTTCAAACCTCTGCAAATGAACACGCTGCTCAAAGCTGACATCTCCCAAAACAATTATGTAAAATTAAGATCCAAACAAATTACAGAGGGAGAGAATGGAGGAATCAAGGAAGAGAAGGTTTTGGGAAAGCCTGTATAATTGGCCTGGGCCTTTTGACCCTGTCTATTATACAGGATCTAAGGCTCCTTCATCACCCGGCTCCACGCGCATTGCAAGTGTCAGCTCTCCATGAGGAAGCTCTGGGAGGCATTTGGAGTCAGACAAGTGGAGAATATTTAGCTGATGTCTTTTGGGTTTTTTGTGTATTTTTTTGCCTTTTTTTTTTGCTTAAATATTGTGGGATTTTTTTTAAAATTTTTATTTATTTATTTATTTTTAACACATCCCATATCTAAAAATCATCAGCTGCGGGCGGGAGGAGGAAAGTGAGGAACAGAGCGTCTTCCCATAGAAGCTCATTGTAAAACTTAGAGCAGCTGGAGGAGTCTGGACATTTGAGGGGGCATTCCAGATTCCCTGAGATGTCTTGAAAAAGATTCCCAAGTTTGCTGACAGGAAAGAGCCTGTGGAAGGAACGCTTCCATAGCACTTGCCTTTCCCTGTTTTAATCCACACCATGACTATATATTAATGGGAATGATGGATGTTTGAACCAGCTCTGGGGATAATGTGATTAGAAAGGAAGAGCATTACCAGAAAGGCTGTGATTTCATTTTTTTTTTTTTTCTTAAAAATATTCTCAGGATTAGTTTTCTCTGCATCCTTGGGACTGTCTGTTGTAGTAGCAGGCAACTGTACTATAAGGACAAGGATCAGACATCATGAATTTTCTGGAAGTTGATAACCTATAGCTAAATGCTGCATCTTTTCTGGCTAGACAGCACATAGAGACACCCTTGCATTTTCCAGAGTGGTTTGCATCTGTTAGCAGGTAAAAGTTGGGTTTTCTCAGCAGTGTTTAGTTTCTTTTAGACTTCTTCCTCTCTCTCTTGTGACTGTTAAATGGTTTCAGGTGGATTTTTTACAACTCTGATGCATTTCTTTTTTTAAATAACATTTTCGGGAATATAATATTGCCTACTTTTGAGGCAATTTGTGATATGGGCCTGTCTATTCCCAGCTCAGAGTGTTTCTCCCAATTTCTAATAAATCAGTAATCCTCCTGTACCTGACACTATTTTAGCTTGCTGCCAAATGGGAATGAATTATGATATAGCCACACATAGCAAGAACTTTGAGATCTTCCAGTTACAAATAGCTCCAAGAGAAGGAAAGAGATTTGGTGGACCTGACAGACACCATGCATAGAGCAATCTCATGCAGTTCTGTGCTTTGGCCCTCAAGGCATTTAAAGAATAACGACACCGGCATCCCCAGCCCTTCAGGAAATCACGATTCGGCCCTGTGTGCACTCCAAAATCACAAAATGGAATGGAAAATTGTGAGGCTTAGACTAAAGAAATGTGGGGCTTTATCAGCCTTGCAGTTTTTAGCCTCTGGCATTTCCTCAAATTGCCTTTTTCAGCTTTTCTCTGTAGCCACAAGGGCCACATTTTAAAAAAAAAAGAAGTTTTCCAAATGAATGCTGAGATTCTCATGTAATCACATGGCCTTAGGAGCTGTGTTTTTACACAAAATAGAGCATGAACTGTAATAAAATGCAAATTTTCTATACCATGAGAGCTCAAGAACTTCCCTCAAAGAGCAGTAGTGACAAGTTAAGGCTGTGCACGGGTGAGGACTCAATTAAGTTGTGTGGCCACCACGTTGATGCAGGAGCTCGTGGTTCTTGCTCTTGTTTGCAGCATCTGTTTTGAACCATGGGCTTTGCCAGGACACAGGGCTATCCTGTGGGAAAGAATATCCTATATGAAAGAAAATTCCCCCCCTCAAACATCCTTTCCGTGCGCAAAGGGGTCAAGGCAGCAGGGGTTGGAGATGAGGGTGGGAAAACACAGGCCAGAGGCCACGGCCATCCATATATTAAGGGAATAAAGAGAAAACAGCCTGGGTTTTGGGGAGCATTTCCCTCCCCAGCTGCTGAGGTTTGTCCTCTAGAAATGAGTCTTCTCCATAGGAAAAGAGAGGGCTGGAGCAGCACTGAGTTCTGCCAGTGCTCAGCCCCGGAGAAGCCACCTTTGCTGGCGGCCCTGCTGCATGGGAAGGACCTGTCCCAATGCTGCAAGGCATCAAACACCTGGAAAAGGCAGCTGAAACACAGAAAACATCTGGAAAAGGCAGCTGAGCCCCACTGGTTTCTGCAGAGCAGCTCCCGCGCATCCTCCTTGTCCCACCTGCTCCAAGGAGAGATGCTCCCGCATCCCGGGATGGCAGCGGATGCGGCTCGATGCCCTTCCGCAGCTCCGTTTTGAGGAAAACTTGCCCTTTCACAGTTGTTTAAGCAAAATGTCAGCGAATGCCAAATGCCCGGAGCCACATATGCTGCGCACAAGAGAGGCTCCATAAATCAGGGAGCCGTTAGTGGGAAAAAATCAGGTTCCAAGGAGGAAAGCAGTGGGATACGAGCTTTTTTTTTTTTCTCCCTCAAAGCTCAGCCTGCGGTGCTTGGGTTTATTATGTGTCCCAGCAGTGCAGGAATTCATCACATTGTCACCCCCTTCTTTAATCCCGAGGAGCGCGGGAGAGCGCGCGCGGCCGTGCGCGGGGGAGCCACAAAGCGGCCGCTGTGGAAAATTGTCACCGGGTCCCGCGCACAATGCGGGACAAAGGCCGGGGGGCTGGTGGCTCGGTCGGGTGTCCCGGCTCACAGCTGTGACCAATGCCAAGACAGCGCCCGGCAATATGGAGTGACCCGGGCTCCCTCTGCAACCTGCTTCCAGAACCTGCACAAAAGCACGGGAACAAACAAAACCTTTGTCGGCCTTTCCAGGACTTTCCCTCCAAAAATTCTAAATATTTTATTAGTTTTTTTTCTTGTTGTTTTTCACCTGACTGGGCTTAAAAAAAGCCAGTGTGGACACTAGAAGCCTGGGTCAACAAATGATTAAAGGCAGGAGGGATGGGGTTAGTGTGGGGGGAGCTACTTGTGTTGCTGTCCAATATGAAGTACAAAGGCAAGAGGGGGAAGAAAGAAGGAATGAGGCTCTCCCACTTGGTAGTTAACACATGAAGTAGCTACAGTATTTTTGGAGGCTGTTTATTTAGCCCAGCCTGGATTTCAATGGTGTGGGTAGAAGCTGGCCCTGAGCAGGGAGCAAAAAGGGTTGGAAAGAGGCAGTTTGGGGAGAATCCAGCTCAGAGTGGAGCAGAAAACTTGCTGCGAGCCCCGAATTGCACTTTGGGTTGTGTGGTCCTTCCTGATGCTTTCCATGCTAGAATCCCAGTGTCTTTTTAGGTGAAAACAAGCGAAAAGCAGCAACGTAGGCTCTGGTGAGGAAGGACTTTCTGGAATGGAGTCAGGATATGGGTCTCCTAGCTGATTAACAGAGCTCTTGCCCATCTGCAAGAAGATGGACTCAGAAGCAGGAGCTTGGGGATGTGAAAGCGAGGGCTGCTTTCCTGTCTCTATTAAAGTAGTTTTGGAGATGTGCGCAGCTCCATCGAAGCAGTTTTCCTTAGGCTTGGCCTACATGAATGCATCGGCAACAGGAGGTGGAGAAGGGAAGGAAAGAAGTCAAATCCTGCCTCTTTCCACCTTGGCCAAGCCAGGGAAATGATCCTTTTCCCAGGTTACGAAGGCGCTTGGCTGCTCCGCGGGCTGCCGGCCGTCCCCGAGCCAACAAAAGGATCTGGTTACAAATATTAAACACTTCTTAATAACTCCGCCGTGCCACGGAGCCGAGTCCATTCGGGGCTGCTAAATGACTCTGAAAGGACTTTTTTCCCTCCCTGCTTCCCTTCTCTCACCCGGTTTTAAATAGGCCCCGAGTGGTAGGAGGCCGCTCACTAGCATCGCTCCGGCTTTGTTTCAGCCTTGATTTAGCCCCCCTTTTAAGGACCCTCCTGAATAATTCAGTGTTATCACTCAGGATGACGCGGGATTATTACAAGGGCTTCCTCCCTCCTCCTCTTTTTTTTTTTCCCCTCCTTTCCCCCGTAACCTTTAAATTCTTTTCACACGTGAATGGGTTCAAAGGGAAGTCGTGTAAGGGAAAACACACAACGAGGAGGTTGCTGCTCTCCCCCCTCTGCTGTCAGCTTGATAAATATAATGTGTCACCAATTAAAAACTCATTGCCATTCTCCTGCTGCAGCCAGTGCCTCGTTAGGGTCCTCCTCCCGGGGTGGCTCCCAGGATCCGCTGCTATCATTGTTGATAACAGAGGGCCTGTTTTTTTTCCCATCCTGGGCCATTTCAGCGCTGCACATTGGCATGTAAATAAGTTATTCACTCGACATCACTTTCGGATAGAAAAATGACCATGAAACTCTTTGATTTTGGGTTTGCTCTTGTCACAAGCGCACAATGAAATCAAGAGTTTCAGTTTTGTGTCTTTGGCTTGTGGAGAGTTTTTTTCTTCTTTTTTTTTTTTGGCTTTTCTCTTTTGCCAAGGCCTCTCTTTCAGCATTTGTATGGAAATTGTCCCATCGCACGACTTAATGCGGGCACGGTTTGACCTGGTAGGTGTCCCAGCTTCAATATAGCAGATTGTTGTTTATTTTTGCCCCCTCCAGGAACATTAAAAAACACAATCTGGGTTATCAATAAAAAAGTTGTTTTCTTTTTTCTTTCCTCTTTCTCCCACCAATGTCTTAGAGAGATGTGGTTGGTACCAGCACCTCTTTCCCATCCGTGATACAAGGATGGACCTGACCCGGGCAGTGCCACAGCTCTGTTTTGCTGCAGGGCTCAGTAAAAGGGAATAAATTCCAGGGAAAGTTGGTGCTTATGGAGGACAACCTCTCCCTGGAATATTAATGCCTCTCTTCACTCTTCCTGCCTCATGTTAGCTGCTTTTCCCAGGGTTTTCGTTTTCCTTCCTGGGAGCAGTTCACCACCAAACACATTTTTTTTCCACTATTTCCCTCTATCTCTACCTTTGTGAAATCTTATGTAGAGCAGCTAGGCAAGGAGGATGGCACCTGCTTTTTAAGAAGCATTAAAGACCATGCTTCAAATCCCTTGATTTGGCTGAAAGTTCGTTCTGAAGTTCTTTGCATCCCAAAATGTTGCTGTCACCGGTATCTAATATCTGCAAAGAAGCTTAGGGTGACCTCAAAATCTCGGCCTTTTTCTCACCAGAGAAGCTGTAG